GATTTTTATTTTATTATTTTTTAAAACAGAACAAGATTATATTTCATATTTCAATATGACTTCTGTATAACCAAAAAATAAACCACCACAGTCAAATGAATGAGAAAAAAACATATTTGCTATTCTAGACAAAATATTAACATTGTTAATCATAAATGAACCCTTCAGATATCAGTACAAAGAGACTAACATTACAAGAGGAGTGAAAATAAAAGGAACAGAGGAAAATGGAACAGCACAAATGAGTTACAGGCTATATGATGATACAGTTAACAAAATAGCTGAGAAAGTAAGCTCATTATAAATTACATTACCAATCCTTACAAACATTGATCATCTGATGATTGTACAGCTTTAGGAAATGAAGAATTTGCAAATACTGGGGAAACTTACTCTAGTCATGGGAAGAAGTGTTGGATTTTTAAATTGTAGTTGCCTTGAATTAATTGATCAATTTAAGGTGAACAGATTTTTTAAAATAAAGGTTCCAGTCTCTAAACCTTGTATATTTTTCCATTTGTGTAGTTTTAAAAAAATATGTCTCAGCAATATTTCAGTTTTCAGTTTAGTGGTATTTCAAGTTTTTGGTAGACTTATTTATAAACATTTTATATTTTTTTGATGTAATTGTAAATACAATTGTTTTTAAAGTTTTAATTGTCTAATTGGTTGCATCAGTATATAGAACTAACTACAAGTGATACAAATATATACTGAAATTGCTGACCTTGCTAAATTCTGGTAGCCATTTTGCAGATACCTCAGTAATTTTATGTAAACAATCATGTTATCTGAGAATAATGTTTCTTATCTTGAAATATACTTCCTGATATTAATATAACCCTACCAGCTTTTTCATGCTTATCTTTGTAGCATGTATCTTTTTCTATCCTTTTTTCTCAACCCATCATTTTTATTGCATTTAAAGTGTGTTCTCTTGAAGACAGCTTATAGCTGGGCCCTGCTGTTTAACCCAGTCTGAAAGTTTCTGTCTTTTAATGTATGGATTTTTGTCCATTTATGTTTAATGTGACTATTGATAGGGTTGGCTTCAAGTGTACCTTCTTGCTGTTTCTTAGTTGTTCCATTTCTATTTTTATTACTCTTTTCTTCCTTTTCTCTCTTCAGTTTGGCTAGCCAAACGCATTTAGTATTCTTTTCAGTGACACTCTTTCCAGTATTATTTCGTGGTGTCTCTAGGCTATTCAGTACTCATTCTTAACTTGTCACAATCTACTTAATATTGTACCATTTTCTACGTGATATAAAAAAAACCTAAAACAGTACAATTCCATCTTCCCTAACTTTTATACTAGAACTGCTGTATATTTTACATTTACATGTTCAATAGAACCCATTGTACCATAGTATTATTTTTGTTTTAAACAGTTGTCTCTCAAAGACATTAAAAAGAAAAAGTGATCTTTTCACTTATCTAAGTATTTATTAGTGTTCTTCGTTGTTTCCGGTAGATTTATATTTCTAGCTACTGTAATTTCTCTGTTGCTTGAAAATTTTTCTTTAGCATACTGCAGATGTGCCATAACAAATTCTCTTTCTTTTATCTGAAAATATACTAAATTCATTCTCATTTTTGAAGGATATTGTCTCTAGGTAGAATCCAAGGCTGACAGGTTTTTTCTTTCAAAACATGAAATATGTTGTGCCATTATTTTCTGTCTTCCATAGTTTCTGTTGAGAAGTCACTCAGTATTCTTCATTGTTCCCCTGCAGGCATGTGTCCTTTCCCTCTGGCCACTTTTAAGATTTTCTCATTATCTTTGGTTTTCAGCAGTTTAGCTGTGATGTATCTAGATGTGCTTTTCTTTATATGTATCCTGCTTGGTGTAGTGAACATCTGGATCTGTAAGTCACTATTTGTCATCAAATTTCCAAAAATGTTGGCCATTATTTCTTCATATATTTTTTCTGCTCCATTCTTTCTCTCTTCTCTCCTTGGAAATTCACTTAAATGTAGGTTAGGTTATTTGATACTGTCTCACAGGATACCAAAGATCTATTCTTTTCCAAATTTTTTGTGTACATCAGTTTGGACAATTTCTATTGATTTGCCTTCAAGCCCTGGCTGGGCTCATTTCAGATATTGTAGCTTTTAGTTTTCTTATTTTTAAAAATATTGGCTGGGCACTGTGGTTTGTGCCTGTAATCCCAGCACTTTGGAAGACCAAGGCAGGCAGATCACCTGAGGTCAGGAGTTTGAGACCAGCCTGGTCAACGTGGCAAACCCCTGTCTCTACTGAAAATACAAAAATTAGCCACGTGTGGTAGCACGTGCCTGTAATCCAAGCTACTTGGGAGGCTGAGGCAAGAGAATCACTTGAACCTGGGAGGTGGAGGCTGCAGTGAGCCAAGATTGCACCACTGCATTCCAGCCTGGGCAAAAGAGCAAGACTCCCTCTCAAAAAAAAAAAAAAAAAAAAAATTAATAGTTTTCATTATATACTGAGATTATTCTATCGTTTCACTCATTATAACCATTTTTTCTTTAAATTAGCACTTGGCAATTTTTTTTCTGAAAGGGCCAGAGCATAAATATTTCAGGCCACCTGGCCATATAATCTCCACTGCAACTATACAACTCTGCCATTATAGCAGAAAAGCAGCCATAGACACAATGTAAATAAATGTGTTTTTCTTCCAATAAAACCTTATTTATAAAAATAAATGGTAGCAAATCTGCAGGTCATAGCATACTGACCTCTGCTTTAAGTCATTGAGCATACTTATTACAATTGTTTTAAACTCCTTGTTTGCTAATTCCAAAATCTGGGTCATTTTAGAGGTCTGGTTTTTTGGGGTTTTTTTCATTTTGAGACAGAGTCTCACTCACTCTGTAACCCAGGCTGGGGTGCTCAGCTCACTGCAACCTCCACCTCCCAGGCTCAAACGATTCTCCTTTTGCAGGAGTTAAATGTTAAGGTAAACTTCAGTCCAGTCTCTATCTGAATTACCATTCTCTTTTTCTGGACAATGAGAAAAAGCAAAGGAACACAGCTACCATCTATTCCATGCCTATTATTTTCTGGGCTTTTTGCAAGTTACTTTAGTATATTATTTTCTGTAATTGTTAAGTCAATAAAATAATGATTATTTGTTTTGTTTTGTTTTTTGAGACAGAGATTTGCTCTTGTTGCCCAGGCTGGAATGTAATGGCACAATCTCGGCTCACTGCAACCTCCACCTCCCAGGTTCAAGTGATTCTTCTGCCTCAGCCTCCCGAGTAGCTGGGATTACAGGTGCATGCCACCATGCCCAGCTGATTTTGTATTTTTAGTAGAGACGGGATTTCTCCATGTTGGTCAGGCTGGTCTCGAACTCCCGACCTCAGGTGATTCGCCCTCCTCAGCCTCCCAAAGTGCTAGAATGACAGGTGTGAGCCACCGTGCCGGCGTAAAATTATTATTACACCAAGAAGCTGAGCCTTAGAGAAGTAAAACAATAAAACTATGTAGCTTGTAAGCTGCTGGAGCTAGAAGTTAGAAATCTGTCTTTCTCCCTTCCCACCATGTTGCCGGCCACTCTTGCCTTATCATGGGATTACCAAAATTTATTGAGTGCTTATGTTGCCTGTTTCACTGTAATTTCTAATTGCTTTTGCTTAGTTCCTTGTTGGCTAGAGATGGCCAAGCTGTCTGATTTCTCCCTACCTTCGGTTCTTCTTTTTTTTTGAGACAGAGTCTCTCTGTGTCATCTAGGCTGGAATGCAGTGGCATGACCTCGGCTCATTGCAACCTCTGCCTACTGGGTTCAAGTGATTCTCCTGCCTCTGCCTCCCAAGTAACTGGGATCACAGGCACATGCCACCATGCCCTGCTACTTTTTTTGTATTTTTAGTAGAGACTGTGGTTTTCACCATGATGGCCAGGCTGGTTTCCAACTCCTGACCTCATGTGATCCACTGCCCTGGACTCCCAAAGGTCTGGGATTACAGGCATGAGCCACTGTATCCAGCTTCCTCACCTTCAGTTCTTAGGGGAGTCAGGAAGAATCCTGAGCCATTGGATGGAGACGGTTTTCCAGAATACAAGAAAGATGCTAAGCAGAGTCTAAGGGCGCAGAGAAGCTTCACTCAACCTGAACAACTAATACACAACCAGTCAAACCACAGCCATGAGTACAGCCAACAGCCTGACCAGCCACCCTGTGGGCTTCCATTGATGGAGAGGTCCCGGACAGACTCCTGCTTTCCCATCTCTTCCTGTCCCTGCCATCTCCCGTCCACTTCCGTTATCCAGCATGTGATATTTCCCCCCAAAATCGAATCTCTGGAAGCAGAGAACTTGTTGCCAAGTATGCAATGGAATTATTTTTCTGATTAGACCTCTGCCATGTCTCCCCTTCATAGTTTGATGTTTGACCATTACTGCTGATGTCCTTAGTGAGACACCAGAGTCCATTTTTCAGGCTGAGGGAGGGTAGGGTCTTCGTAATGTAAGAAGGTATTTGGTGAACTCAGAAGTGGGCAGGTGGGTGAGAAATACACATTTCCTGTTTGCCAGATATTCAGTGAAGCACTCTCTGTATGTTTCTCAAAATTATGGCACAGAATCATTAACTATAGAAAGTCTAACAATTCGTATATTCTAAAAGTATTTTGCACAGACACATTTTGTCCCTTAATTAAATAGACATAACTTTGCTCCTTCCTTCCTCCACATTTCTTGGCCCTCCTCTCTCTTTCCACACTTGCTTGACATGAGGCAAATGCAGAATAAAACCTCATGAATTTCTACTCATCAGGTTTGAAATACATTGTGCTTTGGAGAGGAACTTGCTTGTCCGTAACTTTTGAGCCAGCTCTGACACAAGGGCTTCTAAAGGACAACGGTAGCAGCCTTAGTTCCTTTCTAGCAAAAAGTGGGGCATAAAATCTTTTAAATAAAGTGAGAAATAGGTGATTAAGTCATTACGGGATCAAATGTGTGAGTACTTGCCTGGGGCCTCTTGAGCTCCTAATAGGCTTCACTTTTTCTTTGCAGAGCTCTGTGATGATGACCCGCCGAAGATCACATATGCCACGTTCAAAGCCTTGGCCTACAAGGAAGGGACCATGTTGAACTGTGAATGCAACAGAGGGTTCCGCAGAATAAAAAGCGGGTCACCCTACATGCTCTGTACAGGAAACTCTAGCCACGCGTCCTGGGAGAACCAGTGTCAGTGCATAAGCTCTTGTAAGTGTTCCTTCTGTGACTACCAAGAAAAACGGAAGTGCAATAGAGAGTGAGACAGAGCAGGCTTTTGCTCCCTCAGCCCTGCAGACACAAATGGGCCAGTCCAGTCTACAGGACAACTAACTTCAGTGGTTCCTGAAATAGTCATTCACTAAACACAATTTTATTACTATTTCTGAGACAGTCTTGCTCTGTTGCCCAGCTGGAGTACAATGATGCAATCTCAGCTCACTGCAACCTCCACCTCCCGGGTTCCAGTGAGTCTCATGCCTCAGCTGCCTGAGTAGCTGGGACTACAGGCATGCACCACCATGCCTGGCTAATTTTTGTATTTTTAGTAGAGACTGGGTTTCACCACGTTGGCCAGGCTGGACTTGAACTCCTGGTCTCAAGTGATTCTCCTGCCTGGGTCTTACAGATGCACACCATCATGCCTGGCTAATATTTTGTATTTTTTGGTAGAGATGGGGTTTCACCATGTTTCCCAGGCTAGTCTTGAACTTCTGGGCTCAAGCAATCCTCCTGCTTCAGGCTCCCAAAGTGCTGGGATTATAGATGTAAGCCACCACGCCTGACCTAGATGTCCTCTTTTATCCTGAGCTGGAATTCTGATCACCCTCCCTTCATTGAGGCATTCAAACTCAACTCCTTTGTCAAACGCTTCACAATAGAGAGGGTTGTTCTAGAATTTTCCTTGTCATGGCATCAAGATGGCATCTCTAACTTTAAGCATTCTGAACAGCCTTAGGGAGCAAAGGATCAGTGCGTTGTGGAGTGAGACCACTCCTGCTGCCATCAAACAACACAGAGACAATTGACAGCAAGCAACAAGTCCCTTTCGGTGAGACATACACACACACACACACACACACACACACACACACACACACACAAACATATGCAAACACACATACACAGGTTCAGAAACATGTCGTGGGCACTGCAATATGCACATGAATACTGAGCGGCTGGTCCCGGGAGGGGTGTGAGCCGGTACCACCCAAGGGAGGCAGTGCTCTGGTTTCATCTTTGTAAGCTTGGCACTCAGACACTACCAGACACATCGTGGGCACTGGCCAGGTGTGCTTCTCAACTGAATGAATACATGAACAGTGTTTTCTTTTTTTTTTTTTTTGAGACAGAGTCTCACACTGTTACCCAGGCTGGAGTGCAATGGCATGATTTTGGCTCACTATAACCTGTGCCTCCCGAATTCAAGCGATTCTCCTGCCTCGGCCTCCTGAGTAGCTGGGATTACAGGCCTGTGCCACCACACCTGGCTATTATTATTATTTCTTTTTTTTTTTTTTTGGTAGCTTTAGTACAGACAGGGCTTCACCATGTTGGCCAGGCTGGTCTTGAACTCCTGACCTTGTGACAGGCCTGCCTTGGCCTCCCAAAGTGCTGGAATTATAGGCATGAGCCACTGCGCCCGGCCATGGACAGTGTTTTCTATCAAGCATCTGTGAAATCATCTGCATGATTCCATCCACATTTTCTAGCCCCTAGGAACACAACAAAGCAAGTGACACCTCAACCTGAAGAGCAGAAAGAGAGAAAAACCACAGAAGTGCACAATCCAAGGCAGCAGGTGGACCAATCGCGCCTTCCAGGTGAGAGATGCATCTGCCTCCAGCTCACTCCTGCGAGCCCACCCTTCTCTTGCAGGTAGATGATGTGTACCCAAAGGAAGAAAGTCCCCCACTACCTTCCGTAAACACAGGCATGCTGCTCCCCTCCTCCCAGGACATCACTGCAGACACAAACGAGGGCAGGGCTGCTCAAAGGCTGTTTGCTCAGCCACTTAAGCCACTCTGATAGCAGCCAGTCCAGGCCTGGGCTTACTCTCTGGTTTGGTAACTGGCCAAATAGAATTCAACCCAAATTCAACTCAACTTACAAGCATCTGTTGGGTCTGTGTGCCAGGCCCTGCTGATAGAAGACACAATCAAGAATGTGACAATGACCCCTGCCCTCAAGGAAATGCTCTGTGTCTTCCCCTTAAGCACAAGGCAATGCACCCCAAAAAAACTTGTTTACTTCCCAGTATTGCTTTCAGGGAAAGGTCACAAAATGTGCATGCCACTCTTGTGAGTCTCAGAAGCTCCAGATGTGCATGTCCTGGCCAGCAGTCTGTGCGTGGGTGCGCACTGCAGCCGCCCCTTGCCTGCCCTCAGCTTTCCCAAATGAATCATGATTCAGTCACTGTGTCAAGAAAATGGGCCAGGCGCGGTGGCTCACACCTGTAATCCCAGCACCACTGGAGGCCAAGGCAGGCAGATCATTGGAGGCCAGGAGTTTGAGACCAGCCTGAACTCCTGACCAGCCTGGCCAACATGGTGAAACCCTGTCTCTACAATCATACAAAAATTAGCCAGGCATGGTGGTGGGCGCCTGTAGTCCCAGCTACTCAGGAGGCCAAGGCATGAGAATTGCTTGAAATTGGGAGGCAGAGGTTGCAGTGAGCAGAGATTGCACCGCTGCACTCCAGCCTGGGTGACAGAATGAGACTGCGTCTCAAAAAAAAAAAAAAAGAGTGAGAACAAAGGTCCAGTCCCTAGCAAGAGGCAGCCTGGACTCCGCGCTGTCTCCAGCTTGCCTTCAGAGCGTTCCTTCCCTCTTCCAGGTCACTGCAGGGAGCCTCCGCACTGGGAAAATGAAGGCACAGAAAGAATTTATCATTTTGTGGTGGGGCAGACTGTTCACTACCAGTGCATCCAGGGATACAGGGCTCTACACAGAGGTCCTGCCAAGAGCATCTGCACAATGACCCATGGAAAGACAAGGTGGACCCAGCCCCAGCTCGTGTGCACAAAGCAAACAGAGCCCAGCCAGTTTCCAGGTAAGGCAGCTCCCATCTGGGGTCCACAGCATGCTTTTCTCCGTCAGGCTGACCAGGGCAAGAGCCCTGACCTCTCCTGCTGTGTGTCTTTGGAAAAGCCCCTTGATCTCCCAGGACTTCCATTTTTTCTTATTCTGAAAAAAAAAATTAAATAGACAAGATAGACCCCAAGGGCTCCTTCAATTAAGGTCTCCCTGTGCCATGAGTGGGGAGAGAGGTGTAGACAGAAGAGAAGGAAAGGTCTAAAGGTCTCTCCCAAGTATCCTAGGTGCTGCCTCACAGTTGCTCCTGAGTCCACTACTCCCTGAGCCACCAAGACCTCTTCTGGCTCCAAGGACATGTCCAGTGCCCCACACACGCATTTTTCCTCTTATTGGTGACCGTGTAAAGGCGTGATTTGAACAGTGCCCCGAGGTCAGCCTGCTCCTTCCCCTGCGCCATTCTCCGGCTGAGCTTGGATAGACAAACATGAAGAGAGTGCACAAGTGCACGCACACACACGCAAACGCTCAGCCCACCGATGTCAGGTCTGCTGCTATCTTCCTTCTGAAATCTTAGTATCACGACAATCAAAAGTGACTTACATACAGGCCGAGCACGGTGGCTCACTCCTGTAATCCCAGCACTTTCGGAAGCCAAGGCAGGTGAATCACTTTAGGTCGGGAGTTTGAGACCAGCCTGGCCAATATTGTGAAACTTCATCTCTACCAAAAATACAAAACTTAGCTGGGCGTGGTGTTGGGTGCCTATAATCCCAGCTACTCAGGAGGCTGAGGCAGGAGAATTGCTTGAATCTGGGAGGTGGAGGTTGCAGTGAGCCAAGACAGCACCACTGCACTCTAGCCTGGGCAACAGAGCAAGACTCCATCTGAAAAAAAGATTAATAGTTTTCTCTTTATCTCCTATTGTTTCACTCATTATAACCACAAGACTGTCTCAAAAAAAAAAATGACCTTACATTCAAGTATTCCTGGTTTTCTTGCTCACTGTACTTCTCATACTCCACGTCCTTCTCCTGGGTTCGCTTGGGAGGCTGTTTTGTTCCCTCAGCTGCCTCCCTGGGCCATCCTAACAGCCAGGGAATGCCTGTTGCTTCCTTAGAAGAGGCTGAGCAGCAGGGCAGAGCCAGGGTTGCCGACCCCCAAGAGGAGGGGAGGGTCTAGCACAGAAGCAGCTGTCAGCGCATCTCTGCTCCATCCAACGGCTCAATGGCATTTGTATTATGATGACCTGTTTCCAAGTCACGGATGGAAACTAGGGCTGAATAGGGAGGCTGGGGAGAAAGCATTGCTCAGAGTTTTGGGGACAGCCAAGGCCAGAATTGGAATTCAGCCTCGCCTGCTCTGCTGAGGCCACTTCACTGCTTCCTGGTGCCCTGGAGTGGAACCATGTGGGGTGGCATCCCCCAGCAGAGTGCCCACACCAGGATTCCTGCCTCCTCGCATGTATCTGGGGCCGGCTGCCTCGGGTGGGGTGGGAGTGAGGCCCTGACTCCTGTCCTTAGCTCCCCCAGCATCACTCACTCTCTCCCCCAGGTGAAGAGGAGCCTCAGGCAAGCCCCGACAGCCTTCTTGAGAGTGAGACCTCCTGCCTCATCACAACGACAGGTGCGGGAGAGTTTCCAAGAATACAAAGGCTGGACCACAGAGGCCTAGTCCAAAGGACAGGGTGGCCAGGAGCCAGGCTCAGGGAGATGGGCAGAGGTGACCTGCAGGGGAGAAACCTGCAGCAGCCTCCTCTCCCTCTGAGCAGGGACAGGACCTCGGTGACTGCAGGCCCCAAAGCAAGTGTCAGAAAGAGGGAATCCAGGACCAGGACCAAGCACGGTCCCCAGGCAGAGATGGAACACCTGCTCTCACCTCCACCACGTGTCTTCCCCCAGCCTTTGAGCTTCTCATCCACAGAGGAGCCCTGACTTCCTTTAGCCTCGTGCCATCCTAAAGTCATCATAGCAGGAGTGTCTCTCTTTATCTCCTTTTCACAGATTTTCAGATACAGACAGAAGTGGCTGCGACCATGGAGACGTTCATACTTACAACGGGGTACCAGCTAGCAGGTGAGAGGGCATTTGCTTTGTGGACAAAATGTTCACCCAGGCTGAGATGTGGACAGGTTGACTGGTTGGTAGGTTGGTTAGTTGGTAGGTTGGTAGATAGGTTGGTTAGTTGATTGGCAGGTTGGTTCATAGGTTGGTAGGTTAGTAGGTTAGTTAGTTGGTTGGCAGGTTGGTTTGTATGTAGGTATGTTGGTTGGTTGGTAGGGTGGTAGATTGGCAGGTTGGTTAGTTGGTTGTTTGGTGGGTTAGTTGGTTAGTTGGTTGGTAGGTTAGTAGGTTGGTTGGTTGGTTTAAAGGACCCCTTCCTTACATTGCAAAATGTGTGAGTAAAAGACTAATCCAGATACCGACGTAACTCAGAATCCCAAGAACCAGTTACAGGATGCTACGAACGAAGTCAGGTCAGCCCGTCAGTTTCTCTCAAGCTGGTCTGGAAGGGCTGTACCCCAGGCCTCTGCCAGGGGTCAAGAGTGGGAGGAAGGAGCTATGTAGCCAGGCAGAGAGGACAGGCTTCCAGAAACACAGCAGTCATTTCCTGGTAGGAGGGAAAAACAGACCCTGAGGCTGCATCTGCCTGGGAAAACCTCAGCAGGTTTTTCCTCCGAGACCCTCCAAAACCTCCGCAGAGCAGCGTCTGGAAAACCTGAACCCTTTCCAGAGACGTTAACGTGCTTCTTTTCATCTTCAGAGTTCAGTGTTTCTTTTACCAGGCGCTCTCTGTGTCCTGAAATGAGGCCTGGCCTCCGAGCCTTTCCGAAGGGCTTGTGTGGGAGGAGGCTGCCTCCAGAGGGAAAGCTCCCTCCGCCCCACCCTGTCCCCCGACCCTGTCCCCCCCGACCCTGCTCCTCAAGCCTCCTAAGAAATCCCAGGGGGAGGGACCTACCTCCTGAGACAGAGAAGAGAGGCTGCAGCTCTTTGGGGATGTCCTCAGCCTGCCCTGTAGCCCTGGCTCGGGCTGCTCCTCCTCACGCCAAGATCAGGGCCCTTTGCTGAACTCCCTCTCTCTGTTGACAGTGGCCGGCTGTGTTTTCCTGCTGATCAGCGTCCTCCTCCTGAGTGGGCTCACCTGGCGGCAGAGACGGTAAGTCCGGCATCACAAAGGCAGCACGGGGTCAGATCCAAGTCCTGTGCCCAGCCCCGCCCCGCCCCGTGCTCTCCCTGATCACCTGCAGCAGTTCAGGGAGTGGCAAAGGAAAAAACAGAAAAGAAAAAGTAAACCCTAGAAACTCAGTGTGTCTCTTGATTATCCAGGGTCTCCCTGACCCCCGCCAGCATACATTCTGGCCAACCCTCATACAAACTCCACAGTAAGACCCTGAGAAAATATAGATCCATTCCCCCAAAACTGAAGCTCTTGGCCCAGCCAGAGAGAAAAATGAAAGATTGCTTCCCTTCTTAGATGAGTCATCGGGCCCACAACATACTCCTAATTTTCCTCATAGGAATTTAAATGTATAAATTATTGCGATACAAATGATAAGCTTCCCCCCCCCCCCAGGGTTATTGTAGCAGGCATGAGTCATATAACTGACAGTCTACCAATTTCTCTAAGGCGTCAGCTGGTTCCTAAGGTGTCATTTTAGGATTACAGGAGGTGAAGGATGTAACGTGCCTGACATGTTGAAGGTATACTCAGTACTCGAATCCTCTCCTTCCTCAGCCTGAACACCTGACAAGCCTTAACACGTAGCAGGATTTTTTTTCATTTGCTAGTTTGAAGACCAAACACCTTCAGGCCCAGAGGACAAAGCTATTTGGCAGTAGGAATGGATCAGTGTTTATACTGTGAAACAGAACGGTGTGAACCCATGTGAGTTCCCCCAAGGACTCCCAGAATTACAGTCTTTGGACAGACTCAAACATACATCTTGAAATGACCCTTCTAGTCAGTTTGTCCAAAATCCTTTCTAGAATCTGATATCAACTCATGGTGCCCTCTTGTGGCAACAGAGCCTAGCCAAAGAGAGTTTTGTTTGGGGAAATATTTCGTTTGTTTTGAGCAGTGTGACCAGGAACCTGTGATGTGCTACAGAAGGCTCACAGTGGCTTATGAGAGCCAGTGGTTACATTTTCAAGACTTCTGCAAACTGGCTTGTAAGCCTAGCCATTATGTAAAGTTAAAGTATTTAGGTGGGAGCAGCGGCTCCTGCCTGTAACTCCTGTACTTTGAGAGAAGGTGAGAGGCTCACTGGAGACCAGCCTGGGCAACAAAGCAGACCTTGTCTCTACAAAAACATTTTATTTTATTGTATTTTTATTTATCTTATTTTGAGACAGAGTTTCACTCTTGTTGCCTAGGCTAGAGTGCAATGGCGTGATCTTGGCTCACCACAACCTCCACTTCCCCAGGTTCAAGCGATCCTCCTGCCTCAGCCTCCTGAGTAGCTGAGATTACAGGCATGCACCAGCACCCGCTGCTAATTTTTTGTATTTTTAGTAGAGACGGAGTTTCTTCATGTTGGTCAGGCCAGTCTCGAACTCCCAACCTCAGGTGACCCTCTTGTCTCGGCCTCCCAAAGTGCTGGAATTACAGGCCTGAGCCACGACACCCAGCCTATAAAAACATTTTAAAATTAGCTAGGCGTGATGGCACATACCTGTAGTCCCAGCTACTGGGAAGGGTGAGGTGGGAGAACCCTTTGAGTCCAGGAGTTCAGGGTTGCAGTGCACTTCAGCCTGAGTGACAGATTGAGATGCTGTCTCAAAAAAAAAAATTAATAAAGTACTCAAATTTACAGTTCAATAAACTATATTAAATACAAGAGCAAGAATTACTTACAATAAATCGCTTCCTGATTATTTGCTACATTTTACTGCTATCTTTGTTCCCGGGCAGGTCACATACATTGTGTCTGCATGGTGGAAATACCGTATGATGGTGGCTACTGTCCATCGCTTCCCAACCACGTGTTTAGGGATGTCACATTGCCAGCGGCAAGCTGGGTGTGGAGGGAGGATTTACACCATGAGAGATAGGCAACCATCCTCAGAGAGCTGCTTGTTAAACATCACCAGCACACCTCTGCGTGGAGCCTTGTGCTGTGGGACCTCTGTGCAAAGTAGGGAGAAATTAGATATTCCCATGAGCCAGCTGAGGACTGGGAGAAGGCTAAGACCGTATTGTTCAGTACAGTAGCCACTAGCCACCTCTGGGTACTTAAGTGTGTTTAAACTTAAATAAATTAAATACAATTAGGAATTCAGTTTCTCAGTTGCACTAGCCACATTTCAAGAGTTCCCTAGCCACAGGTGTCTATGTTATTGGACAGCGCAACTACAAAAGACTTCCATCATCTCAGAAAGTTCCATAGCACAGTACTGGCTAGAAACTGAGAGCTTTAATGCATGCAAATCATTTAGCACAGTTAGTTGCTGTTTAATATTCCTGTTCCACAGCTATAGTCTGCTACATAGTTTTTAAAAACTTACGCCAGGTGCGGTGGCTCGCGCCTGTAATCCCAGCACTTTGGGAGGCCGAGGCAGGCAGATCACGAGGTCAGGAGTTCGAGACCAGCCTGGCCAACATAGTGAAACCCTGTCTCTACTAAAAACACAAGAAGTAGCCAGGCATAGTGGCGCGTGCCTGTAATCCCAGCTACTTGGGAGACTGAGGCAGGAGAATTGCTTGAACTCTGGAGGCGGAGGTTGCAGTGAGCAGACATTGCGCCACCGTACTCCAGCCTGGGCAACAGAGCAAGACATTGTCTCAAAAAAACAAACAAAAAACACCTTAAAGAACATTTTCGAAAGTGACATACACTCTGCCAGGGACTCAAAGATGAATACAACATGGTCCTACTTTTAGGTGCCTACAGACTAGTGGAAGAGAAGGAAAACATACTCACTTTAAATGTAATTTATGAAACTCTAATGTTGAGCTGTTACAGGAACAAAGTGAGAAGCCCCTCCATGGGGGTTTGAAGAAGGCTTTAGATCTGATGGTGCCCGAAATGCCTGGGGCCAGGTAGAGAGCGGCAGATGATGGCTTCTAGGCAGAGGGAGCATGAGGAAGGGTGTGAGGTGTCAAGGGCGGGATGAGGTGTTGGGGAGAAGCCAAGCAGTGCTGAGCAGCTGGGTGCATGAGGCAGCCTGACAATGAGGCCCTGCCTTAGGGACAGACATTGACCAAGTCAGGGAACATCAGGCCAGGCTGAGGAGCTGGACTTCATCCCCAGGATTCCTCCTGATGAGGTTCTCTTCATCCAGTAGTGAACCACAGAAGGCTTTACATGGCTAGAAGGCAGGTGGCGACACTGGCCATCCCCGCGGTCTGACTGCAGCGCAGAGGCTGGGTTGAAGGGTGGGTGATCGTGGTGGCAGTTTGACTACATGACAATGGGATACATCCACCAAGATTGTACAGTACTTTTTTTGTTTTATTTGGAGATGAGTCTTGCTCTGTTGCCCAGGTTGGAGTACAGTGGTGTGATCTTGGCTCACTGTGACCTCCACCTTCTGAGTTCAGGCAATTCCCCTGCCTCAGCCTCCCAAGTAGCTGGGACAGCAGGCACATGCTACCCTGCCCAGCTAATTTTTGTATTTTTAGTAGAGATGGGGTTTCGCTACATTGGCCAGATCAGTCTCAAACTTCTGACCTCAAGTAATCCATCCGCCTCGGCCTCCCAAAGTGCTGGGGTTACAAGCATGAGCCACTGTGCCCGGCCTGAATGACTCCTAGTGGTGGAAAATGAATACATAAATAGAAAAAATTGTAAAGTACATCCACAGAGAATATGAGCTTTATCACTTTCATAGGACACATGCACAAAAAGGCTTTGTGAGCATGATCTAAGGGTGGAGGTTTCGGCCCTCTGACTTCAAAAGGTCACCTAGTGGACACTCACACAGGCCCAGTTGGAGAGCTTGTGGCCTCAGCCAGCTTGAACCAAACGAGAGCTGACCCCAAGTTCCTAAAAAGGAACGTAAGCACTCTACAATGATAACCTATCCACCAGAGACGGCGTCTACAAGGAAGCCAGCGCAAGTTTAGTTATATATGACTTAGCAACATGACTTTCGGCTGATTTTTCCAGGTTTAAAAATCACCTGGAATCAAGTGACTAAAAGTAAGGCAAGCTAAGAGTGGCAGGCCTATTCAGGTTAGCCCTCAGTTTCACACCTACCACACAATGAATGGAATTCTGCTGTGAGAACCACAGAGCACAGGAGAACTTGGGTAGCCAGTCATGGCCTCTGGAGGGATGGAGAAGCCTTGAGGTCAGATTTTAGCGTGTGGGAAGACGACAGTTCACTGGGGTTGGGGTGGGGGGTTACAAGTTAGCAAATCAATTAGTCTAAAGTGGAATGCTCTACCAGGCGTCCCCAGACTTTTTACACAAGGGGCCAGTTCACTGTCCCTCAGACCGTTGGAGGGTCGCCACATACTGTGCTCCTCTCACTGACCACCAATGAAAGAGGTGCCCCTTCCTGAAGTGCGGCGGGGGGGCCGGATAAATGGCCTCAGGGGACCGCATGTGGCCCGCGGGCCGTAGTTTGGGGACGCCTGCTCTACCCACTCTGGTCTAGGATGGGGACCACATTTTTTTGGTGCTGTGTTACACATATGACCATGACTTTGTTACACCACTACAGGAGGAAGAGTAGAAGAACAATCTAGAAAACCAAAAGAACGAGAACTTCTTGGTGAGAAGCCAAGAACAGACAACAGAAGTCATGAGGCACCAAGCGAAATCAGGAGCTGAACACTTGCCCAGGAGACATCCCCTGTGCTCACCTGGGTTTTGGAAGCTCTGAAGTCACATCGCAGGACACGGGGCAGTGGCAACCCTGTCTCTACGCCAGCTCAGTCCCATCAGAGAGCGAGCACTACCCACTTCCAAAGAGCAATCCCGTCATTGAAGAAAAGGGCAAAACCACCAGAACTCTCCATCCTATTTACATGTATATGTGTCATTAAAGCCTGAATGGTATGGACCTCTCTCCATGCTCTATGTAGTATAGAGAAAAGTAGGTTTACATTAATGTCGTCCCAACTCTCCAGTTCAGGAATCCCAAGGAAAGCCCTCGCACTAATGTGAATGCACAACACACACACTCTACCCTACATAGCTAGACAGCGTCCTTCTGGCTCCTTCCTCAGCCGCTTCTGACTGCTGACTGTCCCGTTAACATCGCCTCGTGAACATCCTTTAAGAGCTATGGGTTGTCACCCAGAAATCGTTTTACCCTTGGCTCGATTCTCTAAGCTGACCCCCTTCTACTGAGCCTTCAGTCTTGAATTTCTAAAGAACAGAGGCCATGGCAGAATAATCTTTGTAACTTCAAAACAGGGCAGCCAAGCCCATGAGGCAATGTCAGGAACAGAAGGATGAATGAGGTCCCAGGCAGAGAATCGTACTTATCAAGGTTTTACTTGTGCATTACTGAGAGGCCTCTTGAAGAGTTAGTTTCCCAGGGATTGCTATGAATAATACTCTGAATTTGGCCTGCACTCATCTGATGTTTACAGGTGAACATACAAACATCAGTGTGTACATTTTCTAATAAGTGTCTAAGAACACTGAAAAGGGATCAGCACATTCAATGTTTATGGAAGGAAGGAAAGAAAGAAGGAAGTGAAAAGGGAGAAGGGAAGAAGGTCATACTGGTGGAATGTAACCATGGAAAAGAGCACATCAGGCCAGGCATGGTGGCTCAGGCCTGTAATCCCAGCTCCCTAGGAGACCAAGGTGGGAGGATCTCTTGAGGCCAGGAGTTTGAGACCAGCCTGGACAACATAGCAAGACCTCATCCCTACAAAAAATTAAAAATTGGCTGGATGTGGTGTCATGCACCTGTAGTTCCAGCCACTCAGGAGGCTGAGGCAGGAGGATCGCTTGAGCCCAGGAGTTCGAGGCTGCAGTCAGCCATGATGGCACCACTGTACTCCAGCGTGTGCAACAGAGCAAGGCCCTATTTTTAAGGAAAAAAAAAGAAAAGAAGAGCATGTCAGCAGTCCTCGAACATTACCAAAAAGTTCAGCATATCAGAATCACCTGGAGGCCTTGTTAAAACAGTTCGCTGGACTGATCTCCAGAATTTCTGAGTCATCGGTCTGGGAGAGAGCCAAAGGGTTTGCATTTCTAACAGTTCCCAGGTGCTGCTGCCGCCGCTATTCAGGGAACACACTTTGAGAACCGTTGTGTTATCCCTCTGCACACCCACCCAGTCTCAACTCCCACGAAAAACTCAGCTTCAGGAGCTGAGATTCCAGTGCGCGCCCTGGTTCCATGTCTGGTGTTACAGCTCCCTCACAAATGCGCCAAGTGGACATTCTAGCTCAGCAACATCACACAGTTAGGGACATGAATGGAAATTATTCATTCATGAAACTATCAGCCAGTTTTCATTTCTGAAGGGGCAGGAGAGTGTTAGGAAAAATAACGGGCATTTTTCAGCAGGGTCCAGGTTCAGATTAAAGAACTATTTCTGTCTTTTTGATGACCAACCACATGCAGACTCACCTATGCACCCTCCCCTTCCCCCTTCAGGTATATGTTTTCTAAGCTGAAAAGAATCTCAGACCAAAATATATATATATGTATGTATATATATGTAAATCTTACTTGAGAAGAATTGAATTACTCCTTTTGAGTGTTGAGTGGTCTATATGATCAAAACTTTTCCATGATAATACTAAGGTGTTATTGACCATTTCATTCTCCTTCTCTCAAAAAGGTACGGTGGAATTTTCCAGACGCTATGTGATATGTGGTGGTGATGTCATCACTCTGCTGTTAATATATAATCAATTTATTGCTATTGTTTATAAATGAATAAATGATATTTTTTAAAAAGTCTTGGTTTTTGTTATAAATATGGTAAGTATTGCTAGCTATAACATACGTAACCAAAAACCCTTTACAGTTTTTTAATTTTAATTTTTATTTTTTTGAGATGGAGTGTCACTCTGTTGCCCAGGCTGAAGTGCTGTGACATGATCTCGGCTCACTGCAATCTCTGCCTGTTGAGTTCAAGCAATTCTCCTGCCTCAGCCTCCCAAGTAGCTGGACTACAGGCACCCACCACCACACCCAGCTAATTTTTGTATTTTTAGTAGAGATGGGGTTTGACCATGCTTGTCAGGCTGGTCTCAAACTCCTGACCTCAAGTGATCCATCCACCACGGCCTCCCAAAGTGCTGGGATTACAGGTGTGAGCCACAGCACCCAGTATGGGATTCTCTATACTTTTAATAGTTTTAAATAACATGCAAAGGTCCTGTCAAGTGGCCAACAAGCACATCAACATCACTGGTCATTTCAGAAACATAAATCAAAACCACAGTGAGACACACTTCATACCCCCTGAGATGACTAGAGAAAGAACAGGAATGCTCACAGATGGCTGGCAGGATGTCAAACGGTGCAGCCACCTGGCAAAGCAGAGATGGCCATTTCCTCAGGAAGCTAAAGATAGATGTCCTATGACCCAGCAATTCTATTCCTAGGTACACATCCAAGAAAGACAAAAACATATGTCTAAACACAAACTTGTACACAACTGTTTATAACAGCATTGTTCATACTCTCCAAGAGGTAGAAACATCCACATACCCAACAACAAATGAATGCATAAAGGCTGGGCATGGTGGCTCACGCCTATAACCCCAGCGCTTTGGGAGGCCAAGGTGGGCAGATCACTTGAGGCCAGGAGTTGGAGACCAGCCTGACCAACATGGTGAGACCCCAGCTCTACTGTCTCTACTACAAATACAAAAAATTAACTGGGCATGGAGGCAGGCATCTGTAACTCCAGCTACCAGGGAGGCTGAGACATGAGAATCCCTTGAACCTGGGAGGCAGAGGTTGCAGGTAGCCAAGATGGTGCCACGCACTCCAGCCTGGGCAACAGAGGGACTCTTCGCTCCGAAAAAAAAGAATGGATAACCAAATCATGGCATAGCCCTACAGTGAAGTATTAGCCACAGGCAGGGATGAACTATTGATCCATGCTGCCATTTCGATGAGGGTCAAAAACATTATACGAGTGAAGGAAGCCCCACACAAAAGGTCACTATTGTATGACTCTTTTTTTTTTTTAAAGACGGGGTTTCGGGCTGGGTGCGGTGGCTCATGCCTGTAATCCCAGCACTTTGGGTGGCCGAGGTGGGTGGATCATGAGGTCAAGAGATCGAGACCATCCTGGTCAACATGGTGAAACCCCGTCTCTACTAAAAATACAAAAAATTAGCTGGGCATGGTGGCACGTGCCTGTAATCCCAGCTACTCAGGAGGCTGAGGCAGGAGAATTGCCTGAACCCAGGAGGTGGAGGTTGCGGTGAGCCAAGATCGCGCCATTGCACTACAGCCTGGGTAACAAGAGCGAAACTCCGTCTCAAGAAAGAAGAAAGAGAAAGAGAGAGAAAGAGAGAGAGAGAGAGAGAGAGAGAGAGAGAGAGAAAGAAAGACGCGGTTTCACTATGTTGGCCAGGATGGTCTTGATCTTCTGACTTTGTGATCTGCCTGCCTCAGCCTCCCAAAGTGCTGGGATTATAGGCGTGAGCCACCGCACCCGGCGTATGACTCTTTTTATATGAAATATCTAGAATAGGCAACTCCCTAGAGACAGAAAGCAGATTCGTGTTTGCCAGGGGATTTTTCTGGGGTGGCAAAAAAGTTTGGAAACTAGAGAAAGGAGATAATGGCACAACATATTGAACACACTGACAGCCACTGGATTGTATGCTTTATCACGGTTCATTGTGTGTTATGTGAATTTCACCTCAACTTTTTAAAAAGGAGATTCTGAGACCAACAGATTTGAATATTGCTTATCTTACGATTCTCAGAGAAGGGTTGTCAGCCCAGAAGGATCATCCTGAAGTCTTTATGCTGACTTTAGCATTTTATGAAGTAAGTTTTCAGGAGACCCTGAATTTTTGTTTTCAAAAGCTAAAAGTAGCATGTTACTAAAGTTTATGGAAGACTCTAATTCAGCATTCTGTCAAGAACGTACAATGTGCGTAGCTCCCAGGAAGCCTGCTGTTCCTGATGCAGCACCAGACCCATCGAGAGTTGGTTTTAGCTTTTACTCACTGGTATTCAGCCAATTATGAGTTCCTGCCAGTGATTTTCATGGAGGGTTGTGTTGGCTGGCTCCCAGTGTGCATCCTCATAATCAATTAATTTGCTGTGGGTTGAAAACCTGAACAAACTGAAAGTCAATCACTCTTTTAGATCTGTAGAAGTAAGATTATAGGGTAGCTCACTGTCCCCAATATTGGAGAGGCAGATAGGCTGATACAGGGAAATCACAACTTCCTGGAGCAGAAGCAAATGTCCTCTCCAGTCTTGTTGACTCAAACTAGGTCTCCTGTCTATGCCTGCACTGCCACCAGAAGATATGAGATGATTCTGATTTCATAAGGCCAAAGCCGCAGACCCCACTCCTAGAATCAGTAATAAAGAGATCTTAAAAGCAGCCAGAGAGAAATGAACCATTGCAGAGAAACATAAATAAGGATGACAGATTCAGGCAATTCTCCTGCCTCAGCCTCCCATATAGCTGGGATTACAGGCATGCACTACCATGCCCAGCTAAGTTTTGTATCTTTAGTAGAGACGGGGTTTCACCATGTTGGTCAGGCTGGTCTTGAACTCCTGACCTCAAGTGACCTTCCTGCCTCAGCTTCTCAAAGTGCTTGGATTACAGGGGTGAGCCACTGTGCCCGGCAATAACCACTTCAAATGTAAATTGTCTACACATCCCAATTAAAAGACAAAGATCGTAAGATTGGATTTTAAAAGCAAGAATAAATATATCCATACTATAAGAAATCTAAAAATTAATAGTAAAAAGATTGAAAACACTTAGCACAAGAAGGCTGGAGTGCTGCTATATCAGATTAACATATTTGATTAACATATCAGATTAACATGTTCGAGAGTAATGAATATAGCCAAGGACAAAGAAGGTCATTTCGTAGTGCTAAAAGGATCAGTTCTCCAGGAGGCCTAATGCTAGGACTGTTAGGGCTGCTATGCATTTAACACCCGAGCTTCAAAATACATAAAGTGAAAACTAATTGAACTGCAAAAGTAAATAGTCAAATCTGGGACCATCATGGAAGATTTCAAAATGCTTCTCTCACTCTCAGACACGGAGAACAAGTAGATAGAAAACCTGATAAAATATAGAGGACTTAAATAACTATCAACCAATTTGACTTAATTGAAATTTACAGACAATTTACCGAACAAAGACTCAACGCATATCCTTTTAAAATGCATAAGGAACATTTATCACCATAGGCTGTTTACTAGGACATTTTTTTAAAGCCTCCACATCACACTCTTTAGGATGGCTGTTATCAAAAAGAAAACAGAAAATAACAAGTGTTGGCAAAGATATGAGGCAATTGGAACTCTTGTGCACTGCTGGTGGGATTGTAAATGGAGCAGCTGCTGTGGAAAACAGCATGGCAGATGCTCAGAAAAAAAAAAAAAGAAAGAAAGAATTGCCATATGATCCAGCAATTCCATGTCTGGGCATACACCTGAAAGTATTGGAAACAGGGTCTCAAAGAGTTTATAGCAAAGTTATTCTCAATGGCCCAAAAGTGGAAGCAACCCCAGTGTCCATCAGCAGATGAAGGAATAACAGAGCGTGGTACATATGCATCATGGAATATTATCGAACCCTACCAAGGAAGGAAGTGTTGACACAGGCTATGGCATGGATGAAGCTAGAGGACATTAGACTCTGTGAAATAAGCCAGACACGACAGGACAAACACTGTATGATTGCATTTATCTGAGTTCCTTCCTTAGAGTAGTCAGATTCACTGAGACAGAAAGTAGAATGGTTGTTGCCAGGGGCTGGAGGAAGGGGAGGAGGACTTATCATTTAATGGGAACAGCTTCAGTTTTGCAAGATTAAAAAGTTCTGGAGAAGGATAGTAGTGATGGTTGCATAGCAATGTGATTGGACTGAATGCTGCAGAATTGTGCACCTGAAAATGGTGACGATGGTGAGTTGTACACTGTCTGCTTTTTACTACATTTTTAAATATATATATACACTGTTTGACTCCATTTATATGAATTCATAGAAAATCCCAACTACCCTGCAGTGACAGAAAGCAGATCAAAGACTGTCAGTGAAGATGACAAAGGAGCATTATCTTGATTGTGGTTTTATGGGTGCGTACTTACGCCAAAACTTACTTAACTGTGTACTTCGAATATGTACAGCTTTTTATATGTTCACTAAACCCCCAATAAAACTCTTTCTTAAAAAATTACCTGTTTGGAATTCCTAGCCAGGTTCTGTTTTTTTGGACTGATCCCTGAGTGAATCTCTCCTGGTCTCACCAGCCTGCAGTTCAGATGAAACCGTGTTCTTGGTGATACCGCGTGCACACACAGTCTTTTTCAGAGCCTGCAGACTCAGATAAGACCGTGTTCTTGGTAATAACCTGTATACACACACACACACACACACACACACACACAGTCTCCTTCAGAACCTGCAGGTTCAGATGAGACCACGATCCTGGTAATAATCCCCACCCCACCCCCACACATGCACAGTCTCCTTCAGAGTCTACAGGTTCAAATGAGACCATGTTCTTGGTAATAACCCCTCTCTCTCTCTCTCTCCCTGTCTCTCTCTCTCTCTCTCTCTCTCTCTCTCTCTCTTTCTCTCCTTCAAAGTCTGCAGGTTCAGATGAGACTGCACTCTTGGTGATAGCCCATATGTGTGTGCACACACACACACACACACACACACACACACACGTCTCCTTCAGATATGTTTAGGAGTCCTCAGTGTCTGACTAGACAGCATTCCTGGGCTCCACCTACGGGAGGGGAATACCCTCCTCCTTCCCACTATATGTTGTGTTTTATTACCTGGGCACTAAGACAAGTGACTCTGTCCTAGAGTCTCACAGAATCCTTCATGAATCCTGCATCCCCAGCTTCTGCCCGCAGCTTTTCTTTCCATAGGTTTTTGACGCAGACCCATGGAAGAATTTCTGAGACAGGCATCAGGATGTCCTCTGTGTTGCTCCCTATTCTTCTCCCCCAGCCTCACTCCTCCAAAAATGCAACTAGAGTCACAGGTCCTGCCCCATAGGTTTCCCAGAGGTGCCCAGATCAATCTGAATTCTAGTGGGGAACACAGGTGATCAGGAAACCCCCATCCACGTGCCTCAGGATGAGGATGTAACACCATCTGTTAGGACCTCTGGACTCTAGGTTCTTTATGTGTTCATTTCACAAATATTTAACACCACTCCTTAAGGAAAACCTAGAAACAAGAGGCTTGATTGCTCTTGGGACAAAATGATGTGCAAAGTGTTACAGTGTGGCAGAGTTCCTACGTTAAGGCTCCAGACTGTATGCTCTGTTCTCATGCAACACCTACTCGTGGACTTGTGAGAACAAAGTCACCAGGTGCTGCTCTGCTGGGTGCCAGGAACACTCCACCAGGTGCAAAACCGAAAAGGTGGGGGAATGTGGGACAGGCAGGAGAACTGGTTTCCTTCCCACCCACGCCACTCTCTGCCCTCACTGTGAAGGAAGAGAAAAGGAAAAGAGGGATGGTGAAGTCTATGCCCCAAGTCTGTGCTTCTTGATGCTTTGCAATTTGTGGAGGAAAGATAGGTTCTAATACCTAGAATAGATTAAATTGTGATTCCCAAAAACCTAAGGCAGTCAGGCTGCATTTTGGAAGCAGCAGCCAGGAGTACAAGTCCTGGCCCACGGGAAGGAGGAAAAGTGGGAGAAAGCTCGAGATAGCCCTTTGAGTTTCCCTCGGGCAAACGTGGCCTGAACGAGATCCAGCCTCAGTGACAGAGCAGGACTCTGTCTCAGGAAAAAAAAATAAAAATTAATAAAAAAAAAAAAACAGCTGAAAACATTATAGAAGTATGATAGATGATTAATTTTTTTTAACATTTTTCTAAATTCTGTAATACTTGTGTTATTTGCAAACTTTTCAAAACATGCAATTTGGCCGGGCATGGTGGTCAAGCCTGTATTCCCAGCACTTTGGGAGGCCGAGGCGGGTGGATCACGAGGTCAAGAGATCGAGACCATCCTGGTCAATATGGTGAAACCCCGTCTCTACTAAAAATACAAAAAAGTAGCTGGGCATGGTGGCACATGCCTGTAATCCGAGCTACTCAGGAGGCTGAGGCAGGAGAATTGCCTGAACCCAGGAGGCGGAGGTTGTGGTGAGCCGAGATCGCGCCATTGCACTCCAGCCTGGGTAACAAGAGCGAAACTCCGTCTCAAAAAAAAAACCAAAAAACCAACAAACAAAAAAAACATGCAATTTGTTGCCCTTTATTTTATCATTATTTTACCTATAAAAGGAGAGAAAGGCTATGGTCCAATCTGCTTTCAGTGACCATTAAGACCCCAAACTGCTTTCTGTCCATTCTTTAACTCATTTTATTTTTAATTTGTGTCTTTTGTCATTTGAGAAAATAGTCTGGGATGGGCAAGTGGCACTGGTGTTCACTAAAAAATATATTAAAAGTCTGGCTACAGGGTTGTGCATTTTAATGCTCAATTCAAAACAATTAGTATCCTCAATTTTCTCTATTAATTTTGTTTCAATTTCATTGACTTCTGCTATTTATTATTTTCTTCATTCTGTTTACTTTCAGCTTTATTTGCTTTTCTTTTTATACTTTCTTTAGGTAAAAGCTGCGATCATCGAATTGAGATTTTTCTATTTCTCTAATACAGGAATTTAATACTATAAATTTTCCTCTAAGCACTGATTTGGCTGCATCCCTCAAATTAAGAAATGCATTTTCATCCCATTCAGTTGAAAAAATTCTACCTTGTGATTTCTTCCTTGACTTGTGGATTATTCAAAAATGTTTTGTTGAATTTCCAAATATTTGATAATTTTCTAGCTACCATTCTATTAATGATTTTCATTTTACTTGCATCATGTAGATAATATATTTTATATGATATGAATCCTTTTATGTTTATTGAGACCCAGAATAGAATCTATTTTCAATGGTTGAGAAAGGGCTCTCTTTCGGTGAATGTTCCATGTGTAATTGTAAAAAATGCGTATTCTATCTGCCGTTTGTTGGATGAAATGTCTTGATAGTGTTTTCAATCTTCTATATTCTTACTCATTTTTTTCATCTACTTGTTCTAGGAATTACTGAGAGAGGAGAGTTGGCCCACACTTCAACCATAATTACAGATTTTTTTAAATGTCCCCTTTTAGTTCCATCAGTTTTTGCTCAATGTGTTTTGAAGTTCTACTGTTAAGCACATTCACATATAAGACCGTAATGTCTTCCTGATTCACTTACCCTGTTAGTATGTGATGTCCTTCTTTATCTCTGGTAATATTCTTTATCCTGAAGTCCACTTTGTCTGATATTAATATAGCTCTTTTGGGTTTCTTTTTATTAGTGTTAGCATGGTGCTTTTTTTTTCATTGTTCCACTTTCAACCTGTCCATGTCTTTATATTTATAATGGGTTTGTTGTAGTAAGAATATAGTTTGGTCCTGCTTTTTAAAATCCAATCTGATAATTCATCTAATTTCTGGAGCTGTTTAAACCATGTATATTTAATTTACTTATTGAAATGCCCGAATTTAAATCTATTATCATGCTACGTGTTTGTCCCATCTATTCCTTGTTCCTTTTCTTCTTATGCCCTTCCTTATTTTGATTAACTGAGGTTTTTGTTTTGTTTTGTTTTGACACAGAGTCTTGCTCTGTCGCCCAGGCTGGAGTGCAGTGGTGTTATCTTAGCTCACTGCAACCTCCACCTCCCGGGTTCAAGCAATTCTCCTGCCTCAGTCTCTGGAGTAGCTGGGATTACAGGTGTGCACTATCACCCCTGGCTAATTTTAGGATTTTTAGTAGAGATGGGGTTTCACCATATTAGCTAGGCTAGTCTTGAACTCCTGACCTCAAGTGATCCACCTGCCTCAGCCTCCCAAAGTGCTTGGATTACAGGCATGAGTCACCACATCAGCTGATTTTTCTCCTCTCTTTTTACTCCTTAAGTTTCAGTGTGGATAATTTCCACTGATCTCTTTTCATGTTCACCAATTCTTTCTTCTGCTACATTCATTTTGTGAATAAGCCTGTTGAAGGAATCCTTTAAAGCTGAGACCATGATTATATTAGTTTGCTAAGATAAGCTCTATTTCCAAATACAGTGACATTGAGGACTAGGCTTCAATATGTAAATTTTGGGTTACACCAGTCAGTCTATAACAATAATTTTCATTGCTCATGTTTCATTTAACTCTTTTTTTAGAGTTTCCATCTCTCTGATTAAATTCTCTGTCATGGGTTGTCCACCTTTTCACTAGACTCTTTAACATATTAATCAGTTAAAACCTCTGCTAGTTTGAGCATCTGCACCATCTCTCTGTCTGGTTCTGTTGACTGTTCTGTTTTGTTTGATCTTGCTTTTTGGGATCTCTTACAATTTGGATTAAATGCTGAACTTTGTGTGTAAAAGCATAGCAGAGACTGAGGTAAATAATACACCTAGAAATGGCATGTATCTTCTACTGTCGGTTGATTGCTGTGGGAGCTGTTTCAATTTAGGATCTACCCAAGGCTGGATTGATGGGCACATGTGACCTGGGCTGTAACACAGGGTTTCATTGCTTAGCAGGGCCCTGAACTTGGTTTGATGCTCTGCTGTTACCATGCTGAAATTCTTAGGAGTTTTGAACAAGAGACCTTATATTTCCATTCTGCACTGGGCCTTGCAAATTATGTAGCTCATAAGTGTGAGTTTTTACCTGATTCAGAAAACCTGGAGATAAGAAGCACTCTACAGAAATGATGAACAAGTCAGGAGGACTTTATGTTTCAGCATCACTAAGTTACAGAGTCTAGATGGTTAAGCAAATATATCCAGCCAATAAGATAGTGTTTTTTAAAAGCCACTGAGATCTGCTCTGGAAATGGAAGGTTAGAGACTACTAATAGAACCAGCCATTGCCTCAAAGACCTAAATCATAAAAATTTATCAATTAGGCCAGGTAGATAACATGAGTAGCCAGAATTTCTCTTTAAAATTGGACTTACCAGGTTAAATGAAGAAATGATCAATATGAATATGCTTTTAATGATAGAATTCTTAGAATAAACTTGTATACTTGTAACTTTATGAATGTTCTTTCTATTATGTTATAAATTTGATTGATGTTTCTTATAATAATAAACTTCTTTCTCTTTAAATATATAACATCACTATATGTTCTATGTAACATAATGAAATTTATTTTAAATCACAAAAATGTGATGAGGATGCGGGGATAGGCTTACTAGTATGTTAAAATTGATGCAAATAAATAATATACTATATGTTTTTCCATCAGAAAAATAAAAACACTATAGCGAATACAAAAGAAATCTACAAGGGAAAAAAAAAAAAAAAAACGCCTATTGGAAATGTAATTTCTCCTTTTTAGACATATTGTCAGGAGAAAAGTTAGTTGTCAGGGCCTGGCGTGGTGGCTCATGCCTGTAACCCCAGCAAGTTGGGAGGCCAAAATGAGGAGAATCCCTTGAGCCCACGAGTTCAAGACCAGCCTGGGAAACATAGGGAGAGTTGGTCTCTTTAAAAAAAAAAATTAGTTGTTAGAAAAACAAAAACAAAAATAGTGATGAACAACATAGATGTTCTCCTTCACATTCAGTAAATTCTAAGAAAAACAGCCCAGGCTGGTTTGGTATTTCTGGTGCCAGTGACTCACCCTCTTTCCATCTTGTTCCTACTCTATGGATGGCTTGTGGCTTCTATTTTCAAGAGTCCTCACGGATCAGTATTACTGCTGGAACTCCAGTCATTATGTCTGCATTCCAACCAGAAAGAAGGAGGAAGGGTTTAGAATGGCACATTTTCTCCTTTCAAGGACATTTCAATTAAGTCACAAGATATAAAGCATATCTTTTGTTTTTATATTTATTTTGCATCCGTAAACAAAATTTGTGTATTGCTTTTAGGAGAGCATGTAGAGAGAGTTTCTGAAATCAATGTACCATCTTTTAGGTCTAACAGTCTTCCCTAGCTGAGCCACCCTCGTCTATCAGGATCCCAATTCTAAATCTGTTATTTGAGCCACTGCAGGGGCTCATGCCTGTAATCCCAACACTTTTTGGGAGGCTGAGATAGGAGGATCTCTTGAGCCCAGGAGTTTGAGACCAGCCTAGGTAATATAGCGAGACCCTGTCTCTTTAAAAAAATTATTTTAATTAAACTAAATTAAAAAGATAAACTCCATTATTGGTTTTGTATTTTGGAAACAGTTTCATTTTAGAAGACTGTTTATTTTATTTATTTAAAACAGCTGTCTTGGGTGGTTTTAAAAAAAATACTTTATAACAGCTAAAGATAAAATTTAGGGAAAAAAGATAAATGACTCTAACTTCAGAGAAATAAATAAAATAGTTTTAGATTCATTAACAGCTTATGTTTCAACTTAAAAGCCTATAAATTCTTACATTTAAAAAATTATGACATCTATAAAATGTTATACCTTATAGACATTTATTCTTAGCATTTTAGGTCAAGGACTCTTGAAATAACTAATAAATAATTAGTTGTCAATTTAAAAAAATAGGCTGGGCATGGTGGTTCACGACTGTAATCCCAGCACTTTGGGAGGCCAAGGCAGGTGCATCACTTGAGGTCAGGAGTTTGAGACCAGCCTGGCCAACATGGTGAAACCTTGTCTCTACCAAAAATACAAAAACTAGCCGGATGTATTGGTGTGCTTCTGTAGTCCCAGCTACGCAGAGGCTGAGGCAGGAAAGTCATTTGAACCCAGGAGGTGGAGGCAGAGGCTGCAGTGAGCCGAGATTGTGCCACTGCACTCCAGCCTGAGTGACAGAGTGAGAAATAAATAAGAAAATAAAATGAAATAAAATTCATGAACCAAATTCATTTCAAGTAAATTAAATATTTCTGATTTGCTAACATGGTAGGGGAATAGAAATACTTCTAATAGTTGCCTGGGCTAAAAGAAGATTGCTGTGGACTAGATGTTGCAAAGGCTATGTCTTGACTTTGATTTGCATGAAATTTTGATTTTTTTCCTTTTCTTTTTTTTTTTTTTTTTTTTTTTTTTTTTTGAGGGAGTCTCACTATCACCCTGGCAGTGCAGTGATACGATCTCCTGGCTCACTGCAACCTCCACCTCTCCTCCCTCAGCCTCCTGAGTAACTAGAATTACAGGCATGCACCACCACACCTGGCTAATTTTTATATTTTTAGTAGAGATGGGGTTTCATTCCTGATCTCAAGTGAGCCACCCACCTCAGTTTCCCAAACTGCTGGGATTACAGGCATGAACCACTGTGCCTGGCCAGATTTTTATATTCTTTTCTAAAACAATAATCATTATTTATAAACTGGGAGATTTTACACAAAGACCTATAATTTCAAAGTCTCTTCAAAAACTAAAAATATGCTGACACAGTGCCTCATGCCTGTAATCCCAACATTTTGGGAGGCCAGGATGGGAGGATTGCTTGAGCCCAAGAGTTCAACACCAGCCTGGGCAACATGGCAACATCTCATCTCTACAAAAACAGAAAAATTAGCCTGGCAAGGTGGCGTGCTCCTGTAGTCCCAGCTACTCAGAAGGCTGAGTCAGGAGGATCATGTGAACCCAGGAGGTCGAGGCTGCAAAGAGCTGTGATCACGCAACTGTATTGCAGGCTGTGCAACAGAGCAAGACCCTGACCCAAAACCAAACAAAAACCAAACTAAAAACATTAGCGTAGCAGACACACATGCATTGCTCTCCTAGATTCTACTGCAGCTGGTAGCCTACTCGTCTGGTGCCCCGCCCCCCGACCCTGTGGCCCATGCCCTGTAGGCATTGGGGTTTGTGATTCCAGATACATCTTGGGTTTACATTTTTTAAACCTTGAGATTCTGTCACTCACTCCTTTCATTTTCTCCTGAGATCATTAAGAGATGAACCAAAAAAACAAAGGTGAAGGCAGAAATCTCTTCAAAGATTTCCCTTCTCCCAGGTTTGTACAGGAGACAAGGCAGAGAGAGAAGGAAGAGAAAGGGCAACCAGTCTTTGGTGAGGTGAGGGAAGGGGCCGCGCTGTGTGCTTAGGAGGTGACGGCAGTGGGGGTGAAGCAAGTAGGAGGGGACCTGAGTCACTTCCTCGTGGGGCACTCCACATTCTCGTTTTACCAGCTTAGTTGGGTGTCGATTTGCTGTAAGAAGGGACAGCTAGAGACCCAGAACATTTCTCCCAGCTGTTGGGACTTCCACACAGGGCGGGGTTTCTGTCCTCACTGTCCGTTCATGGGACCTCCCCACCCGCCTTCTCCCTCCTCTGGCATTCTGCCTGGACGGATGGCCCTTGCTTAGTATCACAGATAATATTCCTGCAGACACTCTGACCCCTAAGTTGTACTTAACATTTTTAGCTAACAGCTTTCAAAGGGCAACATATTCTAGAGTATCTGTTACATATTTCATATCTAACATGTATTGAGAGCTTATTGTATGTGAAGCACTGTGCAAAATGTATTGTTGGCTCACTTAATCTTCTCAAACAACCTATGGTGCAGATTCTATTATTTTCATTTTACAGATGAGGAAAGGAAGGCACAGAGAAGTTAATAATTTGCCCAAAGGAACCCGTCTGGAGATAGATATATGAATAGATATGCAGACACAGATGCACACACACAGACATAAAGCATACATAAATACAAAAACCAGGCTGGACACAGCGGCTCACACCTATAATCCCAGCACTGTGAGGGGCAGAAGGATCCCTTGAAGCCAGAAGTTTGAGACCAGTCTGGGCAACATAGTAAGACCTTGTCTCTACAGAAAAAAAATTTAATTACCTGGGTATAGTGAACAGGCATCAGTAGTCCCAGCTAATTGGGAGGCTGAGGCAGGAGGATTGCTTGAGCCCAGGAAGTGAAGGCTGCAGTTAACTATAATTTTTCCACTGCACTCCAGCCTAGATGACAGAGCAAGATTATTATTTTTAAAACTTATGAAAACCTATCTCATAATTCTCAGTCACAATATGTGATGCTCAAAAGCAGATATTTACAGGGCTCCTGCATAAGAGGTACAAGGTATTACAGAAATAAGGAAGCAAAAAAAAAAAAAAGAAAAGAAAAGAAAAAAGAGAGGCTTCTCACAGTGAATGGAGAGTGTAATTCAGAAATTCAGATGTTCTTTTTTTTTTTTTTTTTTTTTTTGAGACAGAGTTTCTCTCTTGTTACCCAGGCTGGAGTGCAATGGCACGATCTTGGCTCACCGCAACCTCCGCCTCCTGGGTTCAGGCAATTCTCCTGCCTCAGCCTCCTGAGTAGCTGGGATTACAGGCACGCGCCACCACACCCAGCTAATGTTTTGTATTTTTAGTAGAAACGGGGTTTCACTATGTTGACCAGGATGGTCTCGATCTCTCGACCTCGTGATCTACCCGCCTCAGCCTCCCAAAGTGCTGGGATTACAGGCTTGACCCACCGCATCCGGCCCAGATGTTCTTGAAGACTCAGAAGAGGCTTGAAACTGCAAAGCTGCTGTTTTATCCACATGACTTCTGCTCATCATTGTCTTCGACATGTGCCCAAGTGCCAGGAACAGACACTTATGGCCAAGAAAACACAAAACTGGAGAGAATGTGCTTTCAATTAAAAAGTACAATTGCAAAACAGCTTTGAGTTCAAAACCAGGCCGGGCGCAGTGGCTTATGCCTATAATGCCAACACTCTGGGAGGCCGATGATGGTGGATCATCTGAGGTAAGGAGTTCGAGGCCAGCCTGGCCAACATGGAGAAACCACTTCTTTAGTAAAAGTACAAAAATTAGCCAGGCATGGTGGCACCTGCCTGCAGTTCTAGCTACTCAGGAAGCTGGGGCACGAGAACGGCTTGAACCCAGGAAGCAGAGGTTGCAATGAGCTGAGATCACGCCACTGGACTCCAACCTAGTCAAGAGAACGAGACTTCATCTCAAAAAAAAAAAAAAAAAAAAAAAAAATACAAAAACAAAAAAAATGAAACTTTTAAAAGTTGTTAAAACCACTCTACTCTGACATGGTCAAATATTTAAAGTTCAAGAATCCATTTCACAACTTGATTTTTTCTGGCTGCTAAGTGATTATATTACACTTAGGAGGCTTTGAATTCATATAATTGGGTGAATTATCAAGAAATGAATTGGTCTCTTGGGAATTTTTCCTTTCAAAGATTCATCACAAGTAAAAAGAAAGTGAAGGGTGATTTTCCCCAAGAGCAGGCCAGCTTTGTGTTCTAGAATTTGGGGTTCTCTCATCCCAGAGATGCAGTTCACTGTGTTCATGTGTTTGAGGTTGATTTGTTTATCCAACTGCAGGGCGCCAGGGAAACTGACCAAATAGGCATTTTTTAAAGGAAGAACAAGGCTGATTAAAACAATCTGGCTAGATTGTCGATGAGGGTAAGTGGATAAGCAAAAGTGTTTGGAGAAGGACAGAGGGCAGGGTGGGTCTGGGCCATGACTGTCTTAGCAGTGTCCAAGGCCACCAGGCCCAGGCCACCCCCCTCTGTTTTTCCTGGGTTTTGCTACAACCCCAGAGAAGGGGAGAGAATTATTTGCCATACCAGGGAGTGGAGGAAAAAACAATATTAAATTTTTGTTGATCTTGGCAAGTGGAAGCTCAGAGCCACATCTGACATAATTTACAAAAATAATGCAATGTGATGTGTTTTCTACTTGAGTGTTGAAAGGCAATTCCTTTTTCTATACCCAATATTTTTTTTCTGCTCTTAAGCAAGACCCTTTCTGTGAGTTGACTCATTTTTTTTTCGTTTTCCCCACTTTAGTCTCACTGCCTTGAGGTCTCCAGGTTGGCTGCAGCAATTGGGTTCCCTGTGGGGACCCTACAGACTCTAACTGGCCCTTGTTCCTAAGTCAATCAAAAACCAAGTACACTATCACTGGGTGACCATTAGAAATGCATCACCTTGACCTGGTGCAGTGGTGCACACCTGTAATCCCTGCACTTTGGGAGGCCGAGGTGGGAGGATCTCTTGAATCCAGGAATTTGAGACCAGCCTGGGCAACATGGAGAAATCCCATCTCTACAAAAAGTACAAAAGTCATCCTGGCATGGTGGTGTGTCCCTGTAGTCCAGCTACTTGAGAGGCTGAGGTGGGAGGATTTGAGCCCAGGAGGTCTAGGCTGTAGTGAGCTGTGATGGCTCCACTGTGCTCCAGCCTGGGCAACAGTGAGACCCTGTCTCAAAAAATAAAAATAAAATAAAATAAAATAATATGGTGAATTGTATGTCGTATGAATATATCTCTCTTTAAAAATTTAAGATTCTTACACACACACAAAAGAATCCCTTAACCTGAGCCACAGCTCTCCTCTTCCTGATCTCTCAGTCCACCATCCTTCCCTCTGCTAAAAATACAAAAAAATTAGCTGGGCATGGTGGCATATGCCTGTGATCCCAGCTACTCGGGAGGCTGAGGCAGGAGAATTGCTTGAACCCGGGAGGTGAAGGTTGCCGTGAGCCGAGATTGTCCCGTTGCACTCCAGCCTGGGCAATAAGAGTGAAACTCCATCTCAAAAAAAAAAAAAAAAAAAGAAAAAAAAAAAGAAAAGGAAGAAGGAAGAAGGAAGAAGGAAGAAGGAAGAAGAAGGAGAAAAGGAAGGAGAAGGAGAAGGAGAAGGAGAAGGAGAAGGAGAAGGAGAAGGAGAAGGAGAAGGAGAAGGAGAAGGAGAAGGAGAAGGAGAAGGAGAAGGAGAAGGAGAAGGAGAAGGAGAAGGAGAAGGAGAAGGAGAAGGAGAAGGAGAAGGAGAAGGAGAAGGAGAAGGAGAAGGAGAAGGAGAAGGAGAAGGAGAAGGAGAAGGAGAAGGAGAAGGAGAAGGAGAAGGAGAAGGAGAAGGAGAAGGAGAAGGAGAAGGAGAAGGAGAAGGAGAAGGAGAAGGAGAAGGAGAAGGAGAAGGAGAAGGAGAAGGAGAAGGAGAAGGAGAAGGAGAAGGAGAAGGAGAAGGAGAAGGAGAAGGAGAAGGAGAAGGAGAAGGAGAAGGAGAAGGAGAAGGAGAAGGAGAAGGAGAAGGAGAAGGAGAAGGAGAAGGAGAAGGAGAAGGAGAAGGAGAAGGAGAAGGAGAAGGAGAAGGAGAAGGAGAAGGAGAAGGAGAAGGAGAAGGAGAAGGAGAAGGAGAAGGAGTCGTCATCCCTGGTAATTCTCATCTTACGTTAGGATAATAATGAACCGGTAGAAGACCACTCCTTGAAAAGGCAGCCTTTGCCTATCACAGCAGTTTGGGCTTATGTGTACCTGTTGCATTAGCACAACCCAGCACAGTTCTGTCCTTGGCTTCCTTAATTCCCGCTGGGACTGTCTGATCCGCAGTGGTCAGTGTCTTTCTGGGACAATAGCACCAAAACAGTGATGTTTCCTGGGCATTACAGACTTGTTCTAGTGTCAGGCTTTCATCAGCGATGATGTTGGCAAACTCGCCCATGAATTACTCTGCTGCTTTGTGATTAGCAGATGCTTTATCGACACAAATCTTTAAAAATTTAATGCCATATTTTTTCTTAAATTCTGCAACCAACCTTGACTATTCACAATTCCCTTCCATTTTCAGTTCATCGTAATAGATCATTCTTGTTTCATGATCAGCATCAAGTGGCAGGTGTCCACTGCGATATTGATGGGTCACTTTTCCAGTGCGCAGTTGAGATCTTCCTTTTCAGCTTTACGCAGTGTTTTCCTATTTTTCGTTAACTCCTATGAGTCACTTGCAGCACTGAACTTCCACAGTCTATCCCTCTGTTTCTTCAGGTTCTGCATGGTGGTCATTCCAACACCGTACTTTTCTGTAAGACATTCCACACTTACACCACAGCCCAGCATCTCCAACGGTTTGACTTTCTGTGTCATAGATAAACATAAACGCTTTCTTTTCTTATCACTATTATCCACAGGGGTATCTACAGACCTTTGTGACATTTTCTTTCTTTCTTTCTTTCTTTCTTTCTTTCTTTCTTTCTTTCTTTCTTTCTTTCTTTCTTTCTTTCTTTCTTTCTTTCTTTCTTTCTTTCTTTCTTTCCTTCCCTCCCTCCCTCCCTTCCTTCTTTCCTTCCTTCCTTTCTTTTGTGACAGAGCCTCACTCTATTATCCAGGCAGAGTCCAGTGGCACGATCTCAGCTCACTGCCAACCTCGGCCTCCCGGGTTCAAGCGATTCTTGTGCCTCAGCCCCCGAATAGCTGGGATTACAGGTGTGTGCCACCACACCAAGATAATTTTCATATTTTTAGTAGAGGGGTTTCACCATTTTGCCCAGGCTGGTCTCAAACTCCTGAGCTCAAGTGATCTACCTGACTCGGCTTCCCAAAGTGCTGGGATTACAGACGTGAGCCACTGCACCTGGCCAACATTTTCAACAATATCATTAGACCACAGAGCAGATAATAAGCGAAAATACCACAGTGAGCAGTGGACAGAGGCAGGCCTTGGCTCCATATGGGAACTCATGGGGACCTGTCACGGATGTGTTCCATCTGCACACATGCCATTTCACCACCCTTTGTGTGCATACTTGCATGGGGGAATCTGGGTGTGCACAGAAAAGATATCGCTCAGCTGAAGAGGGCTGGGAGAGTCTTTTTTGCCCTTAGGGATGCTGAATAAACAGTGTGTTGTCTGCCTGTGTTTTGATTGCAAGCCACCCCATGATATCAGGTGTGGAATTTTCCACTTGTGATGTAATATCAGAGCTCAAAAACTTAAATTTTCGACCATGTTGGATTTGGGATTTGGAGATCAGGAATGCTCAACCCATATGGTACTATTCACATGAAGTGTTATTTTTTTGAGACCGAGTCTCCTTCTGTCACTCAGGCCAGGTGCCTGCCAAGCAGCTGGGACTACAGGCCAGAGTGCAGTGGAGTGATCTCGGCTCACTGCAACCTCAGTCTCCCAGGTTCAAGCAATTCTCGTGCCTCAGCCTCCCAAGTACCTGGGATTACAGGCATGTCCCACCACACCCTACTAATTTTTCTATTTTTAGGAGAGATGGGGTTTCACCATGTTGGCCAGGCTGGCAGGCTGGTCTCTAACTTCTGATCTGCCTCTGCCTCCCAAAGTGCTGGGATCACAGACATGAGCCACTGCACCCGGCCTTATTCATATACATTTTTTAAAATGTAAACCATCCTGTCTGTTGCAAATGGACATACACATGGAAAAGGGGCCTAAGAATGCCGAGAATGGTGAGTACCAATTTCAAGAAACATTACCTGTGAGAAGGTGGAAGACGGAGGAAGAGAAAGATGCAGGAATACAGAGCGGCTTCAAATTTATCTGTAATTGTTTTGATTCCAAAAAATATCTGAAGCAAACATTGAGCAGACATATTAAGATTTGACAAGACTAGGCAGTAAGCTCATGGATAACCACTATATTTATTGATTGCTATACTTCAAAGTGTGTTTGAAAGTTACATTATTTAACAACACATTTATATGTAATCAAATAGAGTTGTTTTAAGTATATTAAATTTAAATTTTTATTTTCAAATTTTAAATTTTACTTTTGGCCAGAATTCAGTAACATGGACACTTTAACACAGTGCTAGTTATATTGATACAAAGAATTCTGAAAAGCAAGATAGAAATATTTGTGTAAAAAAAAAAAGCCTTTTAAAATATTCTGCACCAGTTGATTCAATAGTTCTACTGCAGGAAATCTATTCTAAACAATCTTAAATTCACAAGATTTTGTAGAAGGATATTTATGACAATGTTATTTTTAATATTAATATAATAGAAGGGATGTTAAACTATGGTAATTTGCAGCCATTAAAATGTTTTACAAAGCATTTGTAATAATGGAGAAATATCTACCTCATAATGTTGATCGAATAAAGAAAATACTCCATTTTATACATGGTAAGCTCAGCCTGCATTCAGTAAAGCCTGAATATGTTTGACAATATTAAGGAATGTTGTTACTTTTTAAATCAGATCTTATCATCTTGAGATACATTCTTAAGTACTGAGGGAAACTGAATGATGTGGGATTTCCCTAGTTGGAGTGAGGGTGGCTATTCCTGCTTAGAAGAAACAATGGGTCTTGTGTGGTCACTGACAAGTGGTAGGTTCATTATTCTTTCTCCTTTTTTTTTTTTTTTTTTTTTAATTTAAGAGATAGGGTCTGGCTCTGTTGCCCAGGCTGGAGTGCAGTGGCACCATCATAGCTCACTGCAGCCTTAAACTCCTGGGCTCAAACAATCCTCCCACCTCAGCCTCCCAAGCAGCTAGGACTATAGGTATGTGCCACCACATCAGGCTAATTTTGTTTTAATTTTTTGTAGAGATAGGGATCTCACTGTGTTGCCCAGGCTGGTCTCCAACACTTGGGCTCAAGTGATCCTCCTGCCTCTGTCTTCCAAAGTGCTGGGGTTACAAGCATGAGCCACTGTATCTGGCCTCTACTTTTGATATTTGAAAATGTCCATAACAAAAGAAGCTTTCATAAGTCTGAAACACACAAAATGTTGACACTGATTATATTTACAGGTTGGATCCAAGTGGGTTTTCCAATCCTCTGCATTCCTTTGTTCAGTATGTTTACATTTATGCCCATTTTAAACTTTTAGGAAAAGAGGAGCAAGCACACTCATGCCTTGCCTCGCGACAGAGAGTTTCTGAGAAGCTTATCAGATGATTTCCTCGTTTTGCCAACATCACAGAGGACTTAACAATTGAACGGCGTAGCGTGCTATGCACTGAGGCTGCTCCGGGACTGCAAAGCTGTGCAGCATGAAGGCTGCTGAATACTGCAGCCAACTGTAACAGGATGGTAAGGATTTGTGTATCTAAACCTAGAAAAGGTACAGTAAAAACACGAAATCATCATCTTACAGGACCACTAAGGCATATATCAGCGGGTATTAACAGAAAGGTCGTTAGGCTCCACACGACTGTAGGAAAAGCTTTCATTTACTCTTTTCCCACTGTGTGTGTGGTGGGGGGGGGGGGGTTGTATAACAACCTACATTTATACGCCACTAAATTATTTTGTTTGTTTTGTTTTATTTTATTTTATTTTTTTGAGACCAAGTCTCTGTGTTGGCCAGGCTGGAGTGCAGTGGCAAGATCTCAGCTTACCCCAACGTCAGCCTCCCAGGTTCAAGCAGTTCTCCTGCCTCAGCCTCCCAAGTAGCTGGGATTACAGGCATGCACCACCACGCCCGGCTAATTTTTGTGTTTTTACTAGATACTGGATTTCACCACGTTGACCAGGCTGGTCTCGAACTCCTGACCTCAGGCAATCCACCTGCCTTGGCCTCTTAAAGTGCCTGGATTACAGGAGTGGCCACCACCTGTGGACCCCGGCCCTAAAGTCTTTCATTTAACTTTCATTTTAAGTTCAGGGGTACATGTGCAGGTTTGTTTATAGGTAAAACTATGTCTTGGGGGTTTGTTGTACAGATTATTTCGTTTTCAAAGAGAATTTGCAAGTATCTCACAAAAGCCTTATCAACATGCTGTAAGATTATAGGAAGCAATGGCAGAGGCTTGGAGATGTCTCGTCCTGTCCAATGTCACCCCGAGATCTGAGAATCTGCACGTGGGAGCTTACAGACCCGGTTCTCAGGCTTCACTTGAGACCCCAAGAAAGAAAAAAACCCACCTGCCAAAGAGGAGGATGGCAGCCTGGAAGAACCTAGGAAGCCTGGCGCAAAGATGAAGCATGGTGGCTCCTCTCCCGCTTTTCCTCGCTCCCACTCCCTCCTTCTAATACAGGCATTTTCCTGGGAAGCAAAGCTGCAGCAGGAATTCGGCCAAGTCAGAGCTGGGGCGCCAGCCGGTCGCCGCGGGAGTGATCAGGTGGCAGGGGCTGTGCTCTCCCTGGGCCAGAGCGCACAGGCAGGTCCCTGCGTCTCCGCTCCGCGGCGACACCTCCACGGGCACTCACCCGGGCCGGCTGCTCAAAGCTGAGCGCAGGGCCCCAGAGGGAGACCTGGAAAGTCGAAGTTGCGCAGCTGTAGGCGACCAGCGCAGGGCGAGGTCCAGTGGATCCGAGCACAGAGGGGACTGAAAAGAGTCTGCTCTCCGACGGCTTCGCCCACTCTCTCGGCAGTATGGACACCGAACCGAGCGCACACTGGGGGTCCTGGAGCACGAGGCGCGCGGAGAACCGGTAGGCTCCCGGGCTTGCGTGGGTAAGGTCCTGGGACCCCACCGGGCACGGCGCGTGGCGTCCCGAGTAGAGGGGCGGCTATGCGGGGCCGCACGGCCGGTGGGGCTCCTTCCCCAGCAGGGGTGGGGACGCTGAGTCACGAATCTGTCACCGCTCTGCACCTCTCCGCAGCCCTTCGGGGGCCAAAGCAAAAGCGAAAGCGAATGCGCCTGGCGGGACGGCAGGTCCCACAGCCGCACTCGCCAGCTCCCCAGGGCCTGGGCAGCGCTCGCCCGGGGCGCCCAGCGGGGCCCTGCAAAGCGGCTGCCATGGCCCGGAGGCGGGCGCGCGGCTGCCGGACCCTGGGCCTCCCGGCGCTGCTACTGCTGCTGCTGCTCCAGCTGCCAGCGACACTGGGTAGGGAGCTGCGAGTCGGCGCGCCTGGGCGGGGCTCGGGAGGGGGCCGGGGCGTCGAGCAGGACCAAACCAAGAGCCCCATCCCCTTCCCCGGCCGCGCAGGGCGTCAGTGCCTCCGGAGCACTCTGCACTCAGGCCGGGGCAGGGTAGGGGGCGCGGCACCTGGCGGGAGCGACACGTTCGGGGAGCGCGGTGGCTGCACCCGCGTCACCCACGGAAGGGAGTGGACAGCCGGGCTAGGGTCCCCAAAGCCGAGGGCCGGAGCAATTCTGAGAAGCCAGTTTTGGCCACGCAGAGCAGGCGGTGCCCAGCAGTTCCGAGACACGATGCGAGTGCGCTTCTCCCAGGCGCCGGGACAGCAGGGCGTGTGTTGAAAGGCACGCGGTCTTCAGAGGGGTCTGAGAGAAACAACCCCTCCCGGCTCCCAGGCAAAAGTAAATTATGTCAGTGGGAGCTCGGAGGCTGGCCAGGAACTGGGTCCCGGGGGAAAACGCGTTGGGCAAGTCGCACACCTGGGGACCTGGAAACAACTTCCAATTCTTAAGCTACCAGGAAACTGGCAAAGGCCGCAGGGACGGGGTGGGAGAGGGGGGTTGGAAGTGGGGGGAGTCTACACTCGCAGGAAAGGGGGGAAAGAAGTCTGGTGATCACTTTGTGTATTCCAGAAGAATGTGGGTCTCGGAGCTCTGATCTTGGCAGTGAGGGTGGAACAAGCTATTTCTAGAGTTTTGTCCCGGGACCCAGAGGAAGGAGAAACCGTAGCTGGGTCTAGCTGTATCCTTCTCAGGATACAGTGCTTCTCCAACTTTTTATAGTCAGGAAGCTCTTGGAGAGTCTGATGAAAGCTATGAACCCCCTCCCCAGAAAGAGGCACGAATGCATTTACTTACAAAACGTGCATATGATTTTGGGGTCAAAGACCCGCTGAAGGCCATCCATGGACTCTCTATAGGAGTTAGTAACCCCATTATCTATGTGTATTTTTAAGCAAGATCCCCAATAATTTACACTCAGTCGGGCCGGTCTACCCAGGCCCTGGCCAAAGCCATTCCATGCACAGTTGCTGCTGGCTGGTGTGGCCTGAACGCCCCAGCTCTGTGGGGTTTCATGAAGTTTCGTTTTCGTGAGACTCTGGTGCTTGAAATTTCCCCCACATCTGAGAAGCAGAGTTATGTTGGTGACCTGGTTGCTGCCTCCCAGCTGGCTAGCAGTGTCACAGGACCCCGATAGCCGGCAACTGGAGCAGCTGTATTACACAATGTGAAAGTGAAATGCAGCCTCAGTCAGAGCCCAGCAGCCAGGAGGTGTCTTCCCGGAAAAGACTGAGTAGATAGGGGAGCAGCACTGCCAGATCACTAATCTCATCAGCTGCACAGCCTTGCTCTTTGACCTTAGAAAGGCACTGCTGCCTACCCTTCCGTTCCCAAAGCCCTCAGTGTATTTTCTTTCTTTCTTTCTTTTTTTATGTGGAGTCGCACTCTGTCACCCAGGCTGGGGTGCAGTGGTGTGATCTCGGCTTACTGCAACCTCTGACTCCCAGGTTCAAGTGATTCTCCTTCCTCAGCCTCCGGAGTAGTTGGGATTACAGTCACGCACCACCACACCTGGCTAATTTTTGTATTTTTAGAAGAGATGAGATTTCACCATGTTGGTTAGGCTGGTCTTGAACTCCCGACCTCATGATCCACTCGCCTCTGCCTCCCAAAGTGCTGGGATTACAGGCGTGAGCCACCGCACCCAGTCGATTTTTTTTTAAAACAGCCTTATTGAGGTATAATTGACAGACAATAAGCTGTATATATTTAAGTTGCATACTTCGATAAGTTTGGAGGTAAATGCATACATACTCATGAAACCATTGCCACAACCAAGAGTGAACACACCTATCACTACCAAAGGCTTCCTCATGCCCTGCACAATCCTTACCTCCCACCTCTCATCTCCCAGGACACCACTTATCTGCTTTTTTGTCACTATCAATTTGATGCATTTTCTAGAATTTTTTTTTTTTTTTTTTTTTTTTTTTTTTTTTTTTTTTTTTTTTTTTTTTTTTGAGACAGTCTCATCCTGTTGCCCCGGCAGGGTTGCAATGGCGCAATCTCAGCTCACTGCAACCCCCGCCTCCCAGATTCAAGCGATTCTCTGCCTCAGCCTCCTGAATAGCTGGGATTACAGGTACACACCACCAAGCCTGGCTAATTTTTTGTATCTTTAGTAGAGATGGGGTTTTACCATATTGGCTAGACTGATCTTGAACTCATGACCTTGTGATCCCCCCGCCTTGGCCTCCCAAAGTGCTGGGATTACACCCTGGGATTACAAAGTGCTGAGCCATTGCACCCTGCCTAGAATTTTGTATAAATGGAATCGTACAGTAGGAACACGTTCTTGTTTGGCTTCTTTCATGGAGAGTAATTATTCTGATAATTTATCTGTGTTGTAATTTGTATGGATGGTTCATTCATTTCTACCACTGAGTAGTATTCTACCCATGGCTAGCCCAGCACTTGTTTAGCCACTCACTTGGTAAGGGGCATTTGGGTTGTTTCCAGTTTGGGACTATTACATGGAACGCTGCTATGAACACTAAAATACAGGTTTCCGGATGCACACATGCCGTCATTTCTCAGGGGCAGAGAATGGTTGGGAGTAGAGTGGCTGTGTTATAAGGCAGGTGTGTGTATATATATATATATATATATATATATATATATATATATATATTTTTTTTTTTTTTTTTTTTAAAGAAACAGGGGCTCGCTGTTGTTGCCCAGGCTGGAGTGCAGTAGCATGATTATCGCTCACTGCAGCCTTGACCTCTCAGGTGTTTAATTTTTAATTTTTATTTAATTATTTTTCATTTATTTATTTTGAGACAAAATTTCACCCCATTGCCGGCTAATTTTTGCATTTTTAGTAGAGACAGGGCTTCAACATGTTGGCCAGTTTGGTCTCGAACTCCTGACCTCAGGTGATCTCCCCACCTTGGTCTCCCAAAGTGCTGGGATTACAGGTGTGACCCACCACATCCAGCCTCAGATGTTTACTTCTTAAAGAAATTGCTAAGCCATTTCCCGAAGTGGTCGTACTATGTTACATCCCCACAGCAGTGTAGGGAATTCCAGTTCCTTCACACATTTGTCAGCCCTTGATATGATGAGTCTTTTTAATTTTAGGCATTCTCATAGGTATGTAGAGGGTCTCTCCTTGTAGTTTTAATTTGCATTTTTCTAACAGCTAGTGATGTTAATCATCTTGGCATGTGCTTATTTGCCATATATATACCTTCTCCAGTAGTGTCTGTTTATATCTTTTTTTCTCTTTAAAAATTGAGTTGTGCCAGGTGAGGTGGCTCACGCTTGTAATCTCAGCACTTTGGAAGGCTGAGGCGGATGGATCACGAGGTCAGGAGTTCAGGACCAGCCTGGTCAAGATGGTGAAACTCTGTCTCTACCAAAAAATACAAAAATTAGCCAGGTTCGGTGGTGCACACCTGTAAACTCAGGTACTCAGGAGGCTGAGGCAGGAGAATCGCTTGAACCCGGGAGGCAGAGGTTGCAGTGAGCCGAGATTGAGCCACTGTACTCTAGCCTAGCCTGGGCAACAGAGCAAGACTGTCTCAAAAAAAAAAAAAAAAAATTAAGTATCAGCTGGGCGTGATGGCTCACACCTGTAATCCCAGCACTTTGGGAGGCCAAGGCAGGCAGATCACTTGAGGCCAGGAGTTTGAGACCAACCAGATCAACATGGTGAAACCCATTCTCTATTAAAGACAAAAATTAGCCAGCCATGGTAGTGCATGCCAGTAATGCCAGCTACTCAGGAGGCTGAGGGTTTCTGTGCAGGGGAGCATTACTGGAGCTGCGTGGTGGAAAGGTTGCTCTTGTTCAGAGTGTGAAGAACCACCTGTAGTCAGGAGAGTCTAGAGAACAGAAGCTGCATTGAGGCTTTTGCAGTCATTCTGGTGGGTGGTGATGGAATCCTGAATGAAGGTGGTGTCGGTGCAGGAGACAGAAGAGGCCGATGTCCTCTCAAGTCCTAAAATTGTAGAATGTATTGCATTATTTTCCTTTTGTTTGCTCTTCAACCTAGAGCCCTTAACTCTTTCGAGCCTCCAAATCATTATTGAAGGACTTGAGCTATGGAGAAATTCACCTGGCACACAAGAGCTGGGTCAGAAAGCTCAGTTAGTGAGCCTGAGAGAGAAAGAAAAAATTGCCGAGTTTCAGACAGTCAGCTGGAGACGGTCTGTACTTGCAGCGAGCTCCAAAAGGAAGCGTGCTGGCTTGGCTGACATTTCAGTGGGGAAAAAAGGAAGGAAGGTGGTGGGTGACTGTGAGGCCAGAGGCCTTTGCCTTTTGGGTACACCAGCTCCACTGTAAGCATCCTGAGGGCAGGAACCACGCCCCACACGCCTCTGCCTCCACCGCCCTTAGCTCATGCAGGCATTTGAAAGGTGCAGTAAGGGAAGGGAATGTTGGAGTCAATTCTGACTCTGCTTCGTGGGGGCACACTAACCCTACAACCTCTGAACTCTGGATCTGAGACCAGGCTCTGGGTCCGCGCTTTTATTAGACTCTGTAAACCAACCTGATAGATAAGGGAGTCTGATTCACAAGTTCTGGGAAGCAGAAAGAGGTATGGTACCATACACTCTTTTAGTGACTTCATTTAAATGATCGTTAAGTCTTGTTGTGTATGTTTTTTGGCTACTTCAGAGTTTTGAAAGTGCCAGAGCCATAAATGTACTCCAATTTCTATTACTTCATAATTCCATTTTCTGTATTCAGAAAATATCTATTGTATACCAGGCTTAGGAAATGAGAGTGCCAGAGAACTGTCAAAATATGTGCACCGTCTGCCGGGAGTTTATAATACTGTAAACAAGGTAAGACTTGTTTATATTGACTATCTAGGGAACGATGTTATGAGAGAACATATAGAAATTATAATTGAAGTATCTAAAGATGTGATTAAGGCATGTGGAAATGAAGTTATTGCTTCAATTCAATGTATTATCTCTGGAGGATGGCTTGAGTTCAGGAGTTTGAGACCAGCCTGGGCAACACGGCGAGGCCACATATCTACAAAAAAAAAAATTAG